AAAATATAAGCTAAGATATAAATACTATTTTCGTCAGAATATTCAACTATAGTAGCATTTATATAGATAAATACTTTGGCGAAGATAATATAAAAAGTAAAGATAAAATAAAATAAAAATGTTCTAGAAATGGTAAAGATACAATAAATACAATAGATGCCAAAAGTGCAGTAACAGATCTGTAATACAAAACTATTCTAGAACAGCTAACATTTCAAAAGTCAATGCTAGTGAAAACTGGTCAAGGGTTAGATTTTTAAAGAATATTATATTTTGTTAAAATAAAATAAAATCTTTTAATTAGTATTTTGATTAGAATTTTTTTGAATGAGTTAGCAAGTACTATAGGTTTTATTTTTTGAATATTATACTTTTATTGAAGTTTTTTTCTAATAGAAAATATGTGATAATTTTTTCAATTTGTTAAAATTTCTTGAAAGAAGAATATTTGATTAAAGATTATATAAAGATAAGAAATAAGAATTTTTTGGATTTGTTTTATAAAAAAATATGTAATTTTGAAAGAACCAAGTATCTTGTTGTTAGAAAGTACATTAATTGCTTTTGTAATTTTATATTTAGTAATTAGGCTTATTAATGTATTGTAAATTAAGAAGTTAATATTGTTAAGATGAGTATAGTGTTTTTTTTATTTGGAGAGAAGTTGGTTATTAATTAATTATTTATGAAAGACTTTTTTGTAATGATTTTTAATTGTTTAATGGATTTGAAATAAATCAGTTATAACTTTTTCATTAATAGGATTAATGATTTTTGTAAAAACAATATGTGGTTTTTGTAATTAAGAGTTTGTTTAATTATAATTTTAAAGGTTTGTTATTCATTAATTAATAATTTTGCTGATTGTTTCTTTTTTCTATAAATTGTTTTGACTTTAAGTATTTTAAAAGTTATTTTTAAGAATTTTTTAAATAAAGTAATTTGATTATTTTTGTTTTAGTGAAGGAGTTTGAAATTCTTGAAATCTTAATATTATATGATTAATTGGATAAGAGATTTTTATTGAGAAATTATATATGTGAAATTTAATTATTTGAAGTTTTTTATAAAGTATCATACTGTTTTTGTTAAAGATTTGTAAAGTATTTTATAGATCTTTGTTTTTGAAACTAATTTGTTAAAGGTTTTAATGATGTTTGAATTAAAAAATTTCCATATTTTCTTAATGCTGAATTTCTTAAGAAATGATAATAGAACTTTAACAAGTCATATTTATTGTTTTCCAGGTTTTGAAGATTATTTTGTTAATATTATAGTAAGTAATAAATGTTTTTTAAAGAAGTTTTGAGATTATAAAGTTTGAAAGTATTAGTGTAATAATTTTGTAATCATTGTAAAATTCTTGTTTGATGTTTATTTTTTGTATTTTGGTGAATTGGATAACAATATAATTTGATATTCAAATTTAATCAATATAATTTTGATCAGTAGATTTTAAAAATGTATATATGGTTTTGTAAGAAAAAAAAAAGACATAGTATATTAATATAGCTTTTGTTTAGTTTTTTTGTAAATATGTGATTTATATGTTGATTTAGATTTTAAATTCTGTTTATTGATTAAATGTAGAGTTAAAGTTATTCATAATAATATGTAAAATGTTTTTTAAAAAATCGTCATTGAAAAATGCTTGAAAATATAAAGTAGTTTTTTTCTTATATTTGTATTATGTGGGAGATAAACTTGTACAATACATGTTTTTATTTTAGGTTTAAACTGAAGAAAAATTGAAATGATATAGCCTTGAATTTTGATAGTTTTGTAGAAATGGTTTGAAAAGTTTTTATTGAATATTATTAAGACTCTTGCTTGGCTTTGGTCAAGGTTGTTTAAGTATATAATGAAGTTTTTGATGATGTGATGAATTTTTTTAATGGTTTGAAGTTTTATTTTTGAGATACCAAAGATATTTTAATTGTTGTTTTTGATATATTAAAGGAGAAAATTGAATTTTGTGTAGTCATTAAGTCCTTTTGTGTTGAGAAAGCCAATTTCATTTAATTTTTAATTAATTTTTATTTTAATTATTATTATATTTTATTTAATTATATTTTATTTTAATTATTATTATATTATATTTAATTATATTTTGTTTTATTTTTAATTATACTTTATTTTGATTATTTTTTGGTTTATTTTTAATTACAAGCCTTATTTTTCTTGTTTTTCTAATAAAAATCAAAAATTTTTTTAATTGGATATTAAATATAATTCAGTTTTTTATTAAACATATTAAATTGGAAATTATATTTTGAAATATTAAACTCCAGTCTTTTTTATTAAATGTTCAATTGTAACTTTCAATTTTCAAATATATACTGTATGTTAGAAATAAAATCCGATCACTTAAATATTATAGATAAAAATTTCACTATAATTCGTTTGTACAAGTACCATAAGAATGTTATGTCTATGAAGTAAGTAGAATACTTATGTTTTTATTTTGAAAAAAAATCTTTGCTATAAAGCATAAATTAGTTATTTGCAATCGAATGGTTTTCATTTTCTAGCCAGTAAAAAAAAAAAAGTTATACAGTATATTTCAGGGCAATACTTTTGGACAAAGCTTAAGTAAGTTTATGGAAATATAAAGTGAAAAAAAAGCAAGTTTGTGTATTTTAGGTGGCCAATGTAAATTAGATAAGTGAAGATTTTTTTTAACTAATCTCTTTTCACATGATACACGGATAAAAGAAATTAAAAAAATAAATGAAGAAATAAAAAAAATAAAGAATTTCGATATTATTCTTATAAGTCATTTAAAAATTCGTATGTTTGATTTTAATTCGTTATTAAAAGAAACTAATAGTAACAAATATATATACGATAACATTATCGATAATTTGTAAAGAACAATTTCACGAAATTACAAAAAAAAATAACACCGTAGAATGTTTCGCGGCATAAGTAAATGTTGCGCAGGTGTATCACATTACGTCATCCTATTTCGCGAACGGCGAGGAAATTTGGGAATTTCTAGAATAGTATAGAATAGCGAAGATATGTATAATTTATGCGTAATTCGATAGCACGTAAAAGAGTTAGTTAACATTCGTGTTCTAATAATAACCATTAAAGTTAAAATAAACTCTTACATTTTTTCACGTGCGCGCTAAATATTTGTAACTCGTCTACGCGACTAAGCGAAAGGACCGAACTTTCCTAAGGGAACTGGGTGCTAAAATAGTTAATAGAAAAGTTTAAACCGGCCAGACTCAAAAATACCTCAAGAGTAATAAAGCTTTAGACTGTTTACCTTTAATCGTACATAACGCGAAGGACGGCTCCAAATTTGCGACTGATTACAGATTACGCCCACAACGCTATAAAAAAAAAATGAGTGTGACAGGGGGTTCGTAATAGAAGCCCAGAATACACTAAAGCAAGTATCACAAAAAGAGATGATAGTTTATTCGAGGCTAAGACCCATTGCTCCTATTAAAAAGTTTCGATAATTATTTTCATTAGTTAACCTCGAATAAACTATCACCGTCTCTTTGCTCAACTAACAATAGGCAACAAACTTCTACCACTTGCCCGTGAGGCAGTTGCGCAAGGAAGGTGCATAACCGATCCCTCATGCGGGACCCGTGGACCTTGTTACCTACATCACAGACTAGCCTCGACCGAAATATAACGTAATGAATAAACAACACTTATCTATTTCTGTAAGGTTTTTTTATGGCGAGGGAAATGTTAGTTCGGTAAAATATTAGGAAGTAGACATCTCTTGTGGTGACTTTTCTTGCGGCAGGAAAGATTTTTCTTGGCAAAAGGTTAGGAAAGAGACCTTTCTCACGGTAGGAAGACTTTTCTCGTGGCGGAAATAATTTTTGCAGTAGGACTTATATACTTCAGATCTAAAATAAAAACACGTAAATTTAGGCCTATTATACACGTGAAGGTTTCACTTTCTTATGACAAATATATGACGTAACACGGAACATTAGAATGAATTTTTATGATGTAATTTATTATTTATTCAAGATTCAAATGTTGTTGATCTTTCGATCATTTTTTTATATACTTCCATATAGCCAAGTATTTTCCTTTGTATATGTGAAAGTGATAAAAAGAGAGAAGTATCGCGTGTCATGATTTTTAATCGACCAATGCGACCGCAAGTTCTGGTGTAACATGTAAATTGCAAAACAAACTTTTCTCGCGTCGGTATTAACTTGTATTCTCTGTAAAAATATGACGAAAACTCCGCCGTTCTCTATATGTTAGGCGCAATAAACGACGTCAAAATGTAGGTATATCTTCGTTTAGAACAGCGAAACCTCCTTAAGTACATCTATTAAATGCATTATGGTCCCGGGAGGTGCACTTAGGAAGGTTTCACTGTATTGGGTTGCCTTTGTGAGATTACCTAAGGGTGATTTACTCCAGGTTCAATCGCTTAAGCTATTTGGTAACGATGGTTCTTTCTAGCCCATAAGAGTAACTGAATGGAGTTTCTTTAAATAAGGTCTAGTGATTCTGAACGAGGAATTGGTTATTTATATATTTTACCCAGGTGATTTATTCCTAGATTGACCGTTTGAGTCATTTGGCAAGAGCGTTTGTTCGTGCCCGCAAAATCAATTTAATGACTGACGAAAGTATCATTACTTAATGAATACTGTCATTAACTGAATGTTCTATTGCATATAAGGATGATAAGGAAAATCCATAAATTCGGGAATCATTGTCGATGAAGAAAAAGGATGAATACTGAAATAACTACAGTTCTTGCTAAAAAGGTAACTCTATTAATGTATCAAATCCTTTCAACGGATAACTGAACATCAACAATTATATTAAAAAATACCAATATATACCCTTTTATTTCATAGATCAAGCATCAAATGATAAGTGGGAGAGTTACTATACCAGATTATCATAAAGAAACAGACAAAGCATCGAGTTCTGATGTCAGTACACCAGAACCTTCCTTTGATGAAAGCTTCTTCTTTATTGATGAAGATGTTACTTCCCAGACTGATAATAATATCGACGATGATACTGATGATAATGAAGAGCGCCAGATTATAAAGAAAGTATGTCCAATTATGAAGAGTATATCGAAGAAGAAATTTTAGCAAACAAGATTGATGTATTATCACCTATCTCATTTTCATATTACATGGCATTCATTCATCCTTTAACTTAGACCATGACTGATTTCATTACAAATTGGATTTGGACTTTTTCCTGCAGAAGAAATCTGGTGAAATATTATTCAAATACCGTGAAAAAATCCCACGTACCAAGGCATATCTTTAGTAATTTTATACTTTATTTATGTGTAAATATATTTTTTCAGTGTCAACTTCATAACTTTTAATATTTATATACTCCGGATTTAATTAGAATATTAGAGGATATAGACGTAAAGAATTTTTTATGGATGGTGAATGGGATGAGATGATCAAGGATTTTAACAATTATGTAAATTTAAGTGATTTGGAAGATGATCATAAGATGCCCTTCTATAAACTTATGGACAAAATTGCTGAGGTTGGCGAATTTGTAGTAGTGAACCCTCTCAAACCTCGGAATCATAGAAAATTTTTTAGGAAATGTGCATTTATGGAGGGGATTTATTAAGAGTTCTATGTACTTGGGTAATATAAAAGTAAATGCGATTCATAGTATCAAGGCCTTTCAATTTTCATAATTATTAACAATTTTAAATTAAATAGTGCGTACACTCATCAACATTTACGATTGTCTGAAGCTTTATTTGGAAGCAATTTTACAAATATAATCACAAAGGGGATATTGACTCTTGATCAAACCTATCATTACGAAGAGTAAGTATTTGTTGTACAGTATATTTGTTTGAGTATTCACTAATTTCATTCATTTACTATTAATTGTAATGCATAGAGTTGAGATCCAAGGTTTTGCTTCGTCTATGATCACCAACTTGAAAAAAAGCCCACCGACAGAAGCTTAATCGATAATTTTAGAGTTAATAAATAATAATTCAAATGTTAATTATACTAAAATCCGGAGGTCTCCCGTTTGTGACGAAAGGAAATTTCATAAGTTCTTTACTTTTGGAGTGCATACATATAGTATGATTAAAAATTTTATTTATTTTTTCGTTTCTTCACTTTATCATATAACCTGATATACGTATTTGATTTCAGATTACAATTATAACATATATGGACTAGACTGAAGATCTAAAGGTATTTGGCGTTTATTTTTATTACAAAAGATTAAACTACCTGCATCGACTATTGCTTGCCAGTAATAGAGAAGCTTATTATATCCTTGTTACGTGTTGATTTAGGGTTCTTATTAATTGTATTTTTATGGTATTATGAATTTTTATTCACATCTTTTGATAAGAAACTTTACATCGTATACGAAAATCCATTATGAAATATTAATAAGGCAAAATTATATTGAACCCGACGACATAATGTGCTATTAATTATTCCATTTTGTGAACAAGATCGCATAGCTCGTACGAGAAGGGAAAAAAAATTTGGCTTTTAGTTTATAACAAATTTCACGCAGGTTAATATGTACCAATAGCAACATATCAGAAAAAATATGTACAAAATCGGCTTGACTTTATAATGCATTAAAAATAAAAATAAAATTGGAGAAAAAATACTATCCACTTTTTGATACAATAAAATTAATAGCATATAGATGCCAGGTGCATAATTTTATAATATATACATGTATAATGAAAATACAGTAATTCTCTTTAGTGTAGCAAAAAATCAGTATAGTGTAATTTTTATGAAATGAATTAGTAAATATATTATACAGTATAGAGCAAAATTTATTATAAATAATTTTAAATTTTTATCCATTATAGAGCGATTTTTATTAGTCTTCACTATTAAGAGTGTCACTGTGTACATACTGTTCTTCATTTTTTAGTAACTCAACAATAATATCAATTATTTGCTTAATGCATTTTTTAGTATATTACTATTTTTAAGTATCGTTTTTGATATTAATTTGATATTTGCTTTTGCTTGTACAAAAATTCATTCGGATGTAAACCTGATAAAATCCGCACCTAATATGTACAGTATGGTTCCAATTAATTTTTTAAACATAATTTTATTAAATGTTATAAAAATTTATTTTTGAAAACCTATAGTAAGAGTACTCAATAACATTTGAAATCTTATATTATTTTTATTCATAAATTTTAGATTTAATATAAACTAAAAAATCTTAAGAAGACAATTTCAAAAATTTTTGTGCTTGAATAAAAAATATAATGAAAAAATTATATATACTGTATTTTGATAAAAAAACATAAATATTTAATTATTATTTTCCTTATTATCTAATAAAAAAGATTAATTATTTCATATAAAATATATTCTAAAAAATTACTTGAGCTTATAAAATATTTCAATAAAATATTTTTAAAATTATTTTTTGAACATTTAGGTTTTGAATTTTTTTGATATAAAAAATTATATGAAAGATTTTTTTCAAACATGAAAAAAATTTTGCTTTTCTTTTTTTTTTGTAGGTAAACATTATTTCTTTATTTATTTGTATAATAATAGATATACATTGTGAAAGAAACAACATCTCTCATGTGTATTAGTACAACGAGTTAAATGCTAGCTTGCCTATAATAATCACTAGACTAATATTGAAAAGAAATTTTTAAAACAATATATCTTATCAAACAGCTTCAAGCAGTTATAATTATCTACTCAGCATTGGATGGGAGAAAGTTAGAGAGATCTGAAATTAGTTTGAAGATGTATTTAGTAAAGTTGAATCCACTTTGGATATATAAGTCAACTACTATAATGGATACATCTATAATAATTGATATTAATATGGAGTTGTTATTGGATGGTTTTGTTTTGGCTGGGTTTTTGATGGTTTGTTTTGTTGTGTCACTATGAAGGTTATTGTTCCATTTGATGCCAGTGAGAGGAGAGGTGTTTGCTGTAACACAGCGAAGTGTCCAAATTGACTTGTATAAACAAGCTAAGGTCTTAGTTGAAGCTTCAACCCATTGAAGAAATTAGTTGTGAAGAAGATATTGTTCGTGATATCACATGTCAGCTCTGCTAGTTGCCAAGCATATGAGATAGGCTTGTGGTCACTATCAGAATGAAGAATATTGTTGATAGTGATGATAAGTTGATTGATATCTTCTGATACTAGTGAGCATTTGAAGATGTATTGGATATTTTCAGTGTATAGGCTACACTGGAAACAATATAGTTCAGAATATTTTTATGGATATAATTTGTGAAGATTTTTTCTTGTGAAGAGAGTTCCTGAAAGCAATTTGATTCTGAAGACAATGAGGTTGCTATATTTGTTAACTCTAGAACTTTTTATTCTTTTGTTTGATTTGTTAATAATTTTGAGACCTTGGAATTTGTAAATGTATTTGAATATTTTAAGAATTGAGGAACTTTCACAGATTATGTAGGTTTGGGTAATGCTTAGAATTTTTTTGCATTATCTGACACTGCTGCCTAGTTATAGATTGTTGATTAGTGGACTTTCAGAAAAGTGGAGTGGTGAATTGAACCTTTGAAGAATGTCATTAAATTTTGGATTGGATTTGGGATTAGTGTATCTATATTAAATTGATTTGTCTTATATTAATTTGTTAATTTTAGCAATATTGGAGTGAAGTTTGTTTTTGTCATTCTTCTTGGATAATCAGAGACTTCTTGGAGAATTTTCTTGTTACTTCTTATTTCTATGGTACAGTTTGATAAACACCGGTGTAAAATATTCATTATTATACAAAAGAAGTCTTTTAATGAATGTTCTGGACTGGGTGTTATTTTTGTACTTTTTATAAAGATCTTGTTTTGATGGAGTTGAAAATGGTACTATTGGCAAAAGCCAATTCTTTGAAGTGCTGATATGGAAGAGAAGATGGAAAAGTTGTCAATGAATTGAAGAATATTCTTTCCTTGCTATATTGTAATGAACAATTTGCTAATTATGTTGCATAATCGATGTTTGCTTATGCTATTAGGATTTGAGACTACTTACAATAAGGATGCTATAGAAAAAAATTTGCTTTTCTTTATTATTATTATTATTATTGTTTTATCACAAAAGAACATTAGATATAAAACTTTATTAAATATATAAGTTAATACACAGATTACATCAAATATCTTTATATAACATAAATAACAAATTTTTTGCTTTTATTGTGTCACATTATGTGTGATTAGAAATCTCTAAGATATTCTAGAATGTCTTAAATACTATAGACCATCCTGAAACTTCTTGAAACTTTATAAAACATCTTGGAACCTCACAGAATATTATGGAACTTTTCAAAATATTATTAATCATTTATTTTTAATTATTGTATTTATTACATTTATACTTATTTAAGAAATATGATATTATTATTAAGTATGCATAACATTTATTATATTATTATTTTTCTTTTATTTTACATTTATGATATATAAAACCTTCTGAAAGAACTAATAAGAACTTATATATTAATAATATATATTTCTATTTATATATATTTATAAATTATTTATGTAATAAAGAGTAGTTATTTAAAGGATATTCTTTTATTTTTGTAATAACTCAGATTATATTTTTGTTTTTAAGTTAATAAAATAATTGTCTTTTTAAACTTGTGATTTTATTTTTGACTTGAATATAACTCATTGTTTAAACTATTACAATATATTTAAACACTTACATTTGACAGCAACAGAAATTTTTTATATTTTCTGGATTTGTTACTTACATATACTAAGCAATATACTGTATATATTCTTGTGAATTTGTCTTCTTTTTTCTTGACAAACTTTTTGCAAAATGGATAATAATCAATTTGTTTAATTTTCAAATGGATTTTAGAATACTATCAAGAAAATCATTAAAGCTATTGATAAAAACAATAATTTCATATTTAAAATTGTTGTAAAACTCTCTATCTACCAATATAACCCTAGCAAAAATGTTATAATCTGGTTCTTGCAAGTTCAAAATTTCTTTTTTGCTTAAGAATTGGAAGAAAACCAACCTAAAATCCACTATGTCACTATAGGATTTAAAGAATTTACATTTCACTGGTATTTTAACAGAGTAACTACTACAAGAGATAATCTTATATTTGAGAATTGGATAGTATTTGCCTATGAATTGAAAAAAGCTTTTTAATTATTAATTTATTAATAATATTTGCAATAATAACTAAAACAATTGAAACAAACTAAAGGTATATATGAATATAGTGCACAATTTAAGAATATTTTGAAACAAATTGATAAATTGGTTAAATCTAACAAGATTATATATTTTATGAAAGAATTGAAGCTTGCAACTAAAATAGAAATTAATTATCATACTCCAGAAACATTTGAAGAAGCTTGAAAGCTTGCTATTTGCTATGACCTTACTATATTTGAACTTACCAAAATCAAAGAAACTGCTTCAACTTCTTTACCATCTTTATTTTTTTCTTCTTTCAAAAAGTCTATACATATTTAATGACTTTTTTTCAACAATAGCTACAAGATATCAACTTCTACTGCAACATCTATAGAACTAGACTATATAAGTAAAGGGAAATATTAGAACAACAACAACTATAAAAGTAAAAAATATAATAAACTAGCATAATCATTATTATCAACATAACAAAAGGAAGAAAATTATCATTATGGGAAAATAAGACATTATGCAAAAGAGTACAGGGCTCTATACTTCATGTAACAAAAGTAAAATTCAACAATATTGAAAAATGTACTATTGACAAATTATTTAACAACAAAGTTGAACTTGCATACTTGGAGACAATAGAAAATATTTTTTTAGATTTAATAACAAGATTAATGAACACTCTGTACTGATTTTATTGGACAGTAGTGTATCGTGAAACTTTATCAATGAAAAATTTGTGAAATAAACAAAGCAACTATCTAAAGAGATCAAATCCTTCTTTATGTCTCTTGT